GAGTGGTGGTCGGGGGGGAAGGAGGGGAAAGGGGGGTGACAGATCGGAGTAGTAGATCCCCTAGGGGGGGGATGACCAGTAACAAAGGCGTCGAAGTGCTGTTCGATGGTTGCCTTAAACTCAAGGCAAAGGGAGGTGAGGAGTTTTCGTGAACTCGGTGGGAGAGCGCGGACTTCCTCAGAGCCTAGGTAGGTATCTAGGAGTTGGGTAACTGGGTTGAAGATGGATTGAGCATCGTTGACCTTATTGAGAAGGTTGCTGGCCTTGTCGGAAAGTGTTTTAGAGAGGTTTGGGGGGCTTGGGGTAGCCATCGTTTTTGAACAAGAGTAGAGAGTTTTCCTGTGATTAAATACAAACGGGGCATGCCACGTGACCCGGAGGTGTGAGGCGTCACATACATGGCCGACCGTAACACCAACAGAATGTGACCGCGACCATGCAGAGCTGGTATTCGCTTTTGATTCTGGCAGCTATCAAGCTATTTCTTACGAGAATAACTACTCGTATAGCCGTGGCCATAAGTTGGGAAGAAATGAAGAATTAAAAGGTTTTGATTTGGAAATGATAGATGGATAGTTTATTTATACATATAGGGAAAGAAAACTAATATGAATCTTCCTCAATTCTACTCTCCAGAATTATACTGAGCCCCTTCTTCCTTTTCGGAGCCTCAAGATTATTTCATACATAAAATCTTCTTCCCATTGATTTTCTATACATGGATCTACATCAAGCTACCAAATCTCGATGACCAAGTATAAAAAAGTATTTCTCTCCCGAGCTCAAACTCGTTAAGTGTATCATGACGAAACTAAACTCTTCATAAAAGTATGGCAGACTTTTCTTTGTAGTGACTGGATGAATATAAGTATCTCTGGCCGTTTCCGCCTTGCAAACTAAAATAACCGAAAGTTTGGCCTGGTGTATGAGTGGCCGACTGTCATTTATCATGTTGAAGTTTATTATTGTCATCATTCGATGAAGCCACGATATCACTATTTATCACCACTCTCATCGTCACGCTGTTCATTTAGAAAGTCTACTCACAGCGATTGACAGTATCAACTAAGGTATCATCTCCTTTTGCAAGCTATGGTAGATGAGTTACCGCCATCATGGACCTGTCTCCCTTCATGCTATATAGCTTTTATGACCACGAAGAAATATACAAATTCCTATTCAAATTTTGAAACTCAAATATCTAAATATTGATAACTGAATGGGGCACAAGAACAGTTACTCCATTCTATCTTCGTGTATTCTTAAAGCCCAAAACATATTCATTTAGCACTACATTACCTCCGGATTTTGTGAGATTATTAGGTTGGGTGTATATAAATATCATGTATTTTTGTTATTCACCACTTTATCTCAAATAAAGAAATCCTCAAGATAGTATATGAAAAGAAGTTCGAAAATGCAGTTTGTAGACACAAGGGGAGAGTTAAAGAGAAAGTGTTAAAGACACTCATATTTTTCACGACCGGGAGGTTGTCATTTCATGTATCTTGTGTTTTCACATTATCATAGTAGGTTGGTAGCACTTGCTATTAACTCTTCCATGTACAATCACTACCGGGCTACCTTTCAAGCTATCAATACGCCACTAAAGTATGTATTTGGTACAGAAGCAGACCGTGAAATTTTGGTTAACCTCAAAATAACTAAATTTATATAAGAAGCGTTGCAAGAATTTGCACCGCGGAGACGCATCCCGTTGGTTTTGATTTCTGATTCGAGCTGCTTACTTCTTCTCCAACATTCAACTTGGAAACTTTTTATAGTATTAACAAACCAATTCCCAAGCTAGTTTACCTATCTAGTATTCACTCTGACACAATATTCACCTTAATCACTTCAGTACATTCCCATATCATAATTGATTAATACAGACATCAGACACTTATATATATATCCACTAGTCGAAATGAGGCAATACCCGGAACTACCAAGTAATTACTACCCTCAGGACTACTCACCTCCACCTCCACCAATAAAAATTTCTATCACAAAACTCCAAAGTGCAATCAAAAACCCAAGAATCATTCTGTTCTTATAATCTACTGTAAAACCACCCAGAGAAACGCAAGGACAACTTTCCTCAACGTTTAGTTTAAGGGGAAATACCCCCATCCCCGCTCATCACATAAGCATCTGTCAGCGAGATCCCCAAAAAGCCCAACGATATCAAGAAGCAAAATCTATAACCAATAGCGATTCTATCCGTGATGTCTTACACCAAAAATAAACATCAGAACCATCTCATACTTGTTATGACCATTCCATCATCTCCCATCCCCATTATATCATTCTCGCCATCATTCTTTTCCCCCCCTCCTCTTCCACATCAATATATTCCCTATTCCAGCCATCAATGTGAGCAAAGTTTCTGCATCATTGGAAAGACCACAGGCACACTTCACTCGTAGCGGTATGCCAGTTGAAATTCCATCGTTATCCACTTTTCCGCACTTCCAGCGCGCCCTAGAGGCCCTTCCTAACCCCTTTCCGTCCTTCAAAAGCCGCTCAGATTCGTCGAAAAAAGAATATTTCCTTCCCTAGTTAGGCATATCCTCACCCGATTTCTCTTTGTGAGATATGTAAATATTTTAAATGGAGAAGCAATAACTAAATCGAGAGAATATGAACTATAATACGAGTGTGGAACCGCTCTGACGCCTTTGCAAAACTCCACTTGGTGTATAATATTTAAAATATGTTCATCATTATCAGCTTATCTACCAGCTAGCCAAATGAACGACGTCAAGTCAACGCCGCCATCAATCGTAAGTAAACGCAATGCACGCGTGGACTCCATTTATTTTCGTTCCTCTACCATTTACAATCAGCAACGCTCGGGTATTTCAATATCTTCTTTCCTATTCATGTTGTTTGTCCCTGCCTCGCTACCGTCCATTCCACTTCACCAATTCTAGTGCTCCAGCTCGTCCATAGGGATCTCCTCAATATCTTTTCCTACAATTCCTTCCGATACCTTCCAAATTTGAATTAGGTTGTCTTCGGCTGCGCTACATACTACCCAAGGTTCATTTTGGTTCCAGCTGAAGTCGGCAAGATGATTCGTGTGACCTCCGTGCATGAATAATCTAGATGAAGTTAGCAGCTTGTCATTTCCAAATCAAAAGGCAGAACTTACAATTCAGGTGGTCCATCCTCTTGGTCATCTGGTAGTTGCTCCATACCAACTCTGCTAAGATCCCAGAAAATGACCCTACGATCATAACTACCACTTCCCAATATCGCTTCTTCTGTTGGATGCCAAGCGAGAGAAGTGACAGCATCCATGTGACCTTCAAGGGTGTGAAGTTTCTCTTTCAGATTTCTCAAGTCCCAAAGACCAATGGTCTTATCTGCCGAGGCGGTAGCTAAGACAAATTCTGATGCGGGGTTGAATGCCAGGGCGTTGATGGCATCGGTGTGTCCTTGCCCTTTGCTAACTGATTTATCGGTATCTGGTTGTCTGATGTCAAGGATTTGAAGGGTCAAGTCATCTGAGACTGTTCCAATGAGGGATTTGTGGAGAGGGTGATATTGAACATCGTTAACGATAGAAGTGTGGTGGGTGTAAACTTTACTCGACTTCAATTGATGACCATTTGCTTGTAAAGTATTGAGATCCCTATTGGCAAGTTAGTAGAATCCTAAACCCAAACCTTGATTTTGCATACCATAACCTGACGGTTTTATCTTCGCTACCAGTCGCAAGTTCGCCAGCAACGTGCGGATTCCAGCCCAGACCAAAACCTTCCTTTTTATGTCCTACAAGCTCAACTTGTGGGCTAACAATACCTTTAGGAAGACTGCTGTGCTTGGTACGATCGAAGACCAAAACTCTGCCATCAACGCACATAGTGGCTATGATGTTTGGATTTTGTGGTTGGTACCTGGCCTTATTAACCTCTCCTGGATGATCGATTTTCTGTTCGATGGTCATTTTGATTGCCGCCTGTTCCCCTGATGATGATTTCCCATAACCTCCAATCTCCTCGCGATCCTCATCATAATCAACATGATTCGGGGTGACATTTTTTGGTAGCTCGACGTTTGCGATTTGTAGATAGTTCTGTGCGCCATTAGATGTATGAGTACCAATAAGAAGTCTGTGGACCGAGAAATTCTTTCCTGCTGGTCTGGATACCATCAGTTAAGTTCATGAGCGAGTTATCAATTGAGCTTACTCTTTAACATCGGGAAACCATTGGGTTGTCAAGGTGGGCCATTCTAGCGCAGTGCTGCGAGATTGTCAGTTGAAGCATAACTTTGAGAGTTGTGAAAATCCCATACCTCAAAATCATATCGTAAAGAAAAGGACTGTTCTTCTTCCATGTTTTATACTCTGATCGCAGAATTTAGTTCAGCTCCTCATTTCTCGAAAAGAGCATTATTACCCTCGTTGATAATCTTTTGCTCCATATCTTCATTATCATCTACGGGTCGGCTCACTTTGTATCTGTTAGCAAGCTTCTACATAATTGAAGAGTGCATAATGCGCTGCACCGCAAATGCAAAACTTACTGTTCATATCATGATCTTCTGATTGAGGAGCCATACTGGCAGTTATTTTCTGCTCAAATTTATCGAAATCTGGTGCCAAATTCTCACTTTGTGGTCTCAAAATCGCTCAAGTATTTAGAATTGTAAGTAGATAGCTCTGTGAATATATTGCACTAAAATTGTATTTCGTGTCAAAAATGAAGCTCTAAAAGCTCTGAAGCTAGGAAGACGCGCCCCAAGGCGCGCAATGGGTGGGTCGCTTATAGTTATGAGTCGGGCCCGACGTCCGCTAGCGCCGGCTGTGACGTTAGTGTGAGTGGAGTGGGAGAGCTTGTTGATGTCCTCGGGGGGAAGCCAGAACCAAAGTCTTTCCTTGATCTTTTGAAGAGATTATTTCTCAAGAGTTCAACACCTTCTCTAAGCCATCCGCAGCAGTCAGTACAAAAAGAAGGATCAGTCCTTCCGTCCTACAAAGGTTCTAAACTTGTAGTATTCTCTACTCCTCATTTTCACTTTGTGGTAACAGCAAAGTGCGCCACTTCAACAATCACAAACTACAAATCGCAAACCTTTCTATACAATTAAAAGTATCTCGCGCACCTTGCGCACCGTTTCTACATCATGGGTGTCCCAAAATTCTTTAGATGGATGAGTGAAAGGTATCCCTCGATCTCGCAATTGATCGCGGAGAACAGAATACCAGAGTTCGACTGTCTGTATCTGGATATGAATGGTATCATTCATAATTGTACACACAAAGACTCCGATGATGCGACCTTTCGTATGACAGAGGAGCAGATGTTCATTGCGATTTTCAATTACATTGAGCATCTTTACGGGAAGATTAAGCCAAAGCAGCTTTTCTTCATGGCTGTGGACGGAGTGGCTCCTCGCGCAAAGATGAACCAACAACGAGCTCGAAGATTCAGAACGGCATTAGATGTCGAGAATGCTAGAGAAAAGGCAATTCGAGAAGGAAAGGAAATGCCAAAGGAAGAGGCGTTTGACAGTAATTCCATCACACCAGGTAAGTCTTTTGGGTAGATAATATTCCACAAGCTAATCATTCCAGGCACGGAGTTTATGCAAAAGTTAACTCTCCAACTGAAATACTTCATCGCAAAGAAGATCTCAGAGGATGTCGATTGGCAAGGAACCGAGATTGTTCTCTCGGGACATGAGGTACCAGGAGAGGGGGAGCACAAGATTATGGAGTACATTCGCCTCAAGAAAGCGCAACCGGATTATGATCCTAACAGACGTCATTGTCTTTATGGTTTAGATGCGGATTTGATTATGTTGGGATTGTTGAGTCATGATCCTCATTTTTGCCTTCTTCGTGAAGAGGTTACCTTCGGCAGACAGAGTAAAGCCAAATCAAAGGAGTTAGAGCATCAAAATTTTTATTTGATGCATCTGTGCATTGTTAGAGAGTACTTAGAATTGGAGTTTCAGGAGTTAAAGGGAGATGGGGTTTTAGGCTTTCCATTCGATCTCGAGCGCGTTATTGATGATTTTATCCTGATGGCGTTCTTTGTCGGCAACGATTTCCTACCGAATCTTCCAAATTTACACATTAACGAAGGGGCGTTGGCGTTGATGTTCAAGGTGTACAAAACCATTTTGCCCAAGGGTGGTGGATATATAAATGAGGGAGGAGTTATTAATATGAGCCGACTGGCAATCTTGCTTGATGAACTGTCTCACGTTGAGTACAGATTTTTTGAATCGGAGAGCTCGGACTCATCATGGTTCAAGGCTAAGCAAATGTCAAAGGAGGATGTCATGGTGAAAGGCAAGAATAAGGGCAAACTCGTAATGACGACAGCACAACAACAAATATGGAAACAAGTCAAATCCTATGTACAGAAGAGAGGAACAGAAGCATTAGATTTATCCGAAAAGCTGCCCGCAGCGGATAGAAAATTCGCGCAGGATTTAGCAGAGAGTCTACACCTAGAATGGAAAACAGTTCAGAGTGATGATGGAGAACGCCACATGCAGCTTTCATTCCCTGCTAAGCTCGGTGCCGACGACGACGAAGAAGACGATGATGAAGAGGAGGAGTCTCAACTTGCGATCATGCGAATTGTTAAACAATACGATAAAGCAGAAGTTCTCGATGTTACCAGAGAGCAAGCACAAGCCGAGATGGATCGTAAATACGAAGAGAAGTTCCAAGAATGGAAAGACAAATATTATGACGGCAAGTTCGAATGGGATCGAAAGAACGAAACAGAGTTGACGAATTTGTGCGAGAATTACGTCCAGGGTTTGCAGTGGGTTCTTTACTACTACTATCGTGGTGTCGTATCGTGGCCGTGGTATTACCAATATCACTATTCGCCGATGATTTCTGGTGAGCATAACATCTGTGGAATCTATTACTTCTAAGCTAACAATGTCGACAGATGTCATAAAAGGACTGAAAGCAGATGTCAATTTCAAGCTTGGACAGCCGTTCCATCCGTTTGAACAACTTATGGGCGTGCTACCGGATCGTAGTAAGAAGATTGTGCCGACGGTGTATCATGACCTCATGACTAATCCCGCTTCTCCTATCATCGATTTCTACCCCCGAGACTTCGAATTAGATATGAACGGAAAGAAGATGGAATGGGAAGCTGTGGTCAAGATTCCATTCATTGATGAAAAGCGATTGTTGGATGCTATGGCTACAAAGAATAATCTGCTGAGCGATGCCGAGAAGGCTAGGAATGAGTTTGGGGTCTCTTTAAAGTTCACTTACGATCCAGATGTCGACTTTACTTACCCATCTTCATTGGTGGGTATTTTCCCTGACATTGCCCATTGCCACTGCATCGAAAACATTTTTGACCTGCCGACAATCGAAGGCCTGGACTTTTATCATGGTCTCATGGATGGAGCTAAGCTTGGATCTGCATCTCTAGCTGGATTTCCAAGTTTAAATTATCTTCCATATAATGCAACATTGGGTTTCCATGGAGTCAACGTTTTCCAATCAGACAGCCGTAACGAAAGTATGGTTGTCACAATCGAAGATTGTGAAGTTCGAACAAATGTCAAGACAGCACAACAGAAACTTGGTAAAAGAGTATTTGTTGGTTATCCTTTCTTACAGGAAGGTAAAGTTGTCAAAGTCTCTGATGAACTATTCGATTATCTGCCTTCCGAAGATGCCAGCGGTCAACCTATCAGTAGAGCACACGGGCCTCGTGAAATCGACGACTTCCGCAAGAAAGCCGAAAGAATAGAAAGCACTTATAGCAAACGTCTTGGTATAATTATTGGACCAGTAGAGTCCCTCACTCATGTGGAGATGCTGAAAGGCTTGAAAAAGATGGATGACGGTGCGACCATCAAGGAATATGCTGTTATTCCTGGCCAAGACACAGACTATGCTTCGCAAGTTGTGGTGGATGAAGTTATCAGCGAAGATCAGCGATTTTTGGAGAGAGCAGCTTTGCCTGTGGAGGAGGAGTTCCCTGTTGATGACAGAATATTCTTTCTCGGAGATTTCAACTATGGCCGCCCAGGGCTGGTTGAAGGTCACGCAGATCACAAACTTCAAATCTCTCTGTCCACAATTAAAGGCAAAGAGGTGGAATTTGGTAGAAACATTGTTCACAACGCGAAAAACAATAGTCACTACACTCCGTCTTTTGCAGTTGCTAAAATGTTGGGGTTGCATCCTTTAGTACTTAGCAAGATTACTTCATCCTTCCAAGTTTCTGCTGTGGGTCAGCTTCGCGTCAACTTGGGACTCAACCTCAAATTTGAGGGCAAGAAGCTTAAGGTTTTGGGTTATTCGCGACGAGCCGATAATGGATGGGAGTTCAGTAATAAAGCTATTGAACTCATCAGCACTTATATGACCAAGTTTCCTCATTTCTTTGCCGGTATCCAAAGAAAACCTCAAGGTAATGAATATGAGGAGTCTGACTTTCCTGGTGCTAGTGTCAAGGAGATTGTGGCATGGCTCAAAACCATCGAATCCAAGAACTTTGAGAAAGTACCTTTGGATGCTGAGCAGCTTGACTCTGATACCGTAATGGCTATCGAGGAAGCGGCTCAAGAAGCCTTGATCAATGGCCCACAACCTCAACGTACAACGCTTAAAGCTGTTCCACGTGGTGCGCTCTTGAAGCCATCTGATGCTGAACATCGTTGCGGCAACCAGAAGTTTGCTCTGGGTGATCGTGTTGTCTATGTTGCAGATTCTGGTCGCGTGCCCATTGCCACGCGCGGTACTGTTGTGGGTATCTCTCGCACCCCTCGCACCACTTTACTTGATGTCCTATTTGATGTTACTTTCATGAGTGGAACGACTCTTGGTGAACGATGCTCCCCGTTCCGTGGATCCACCGTACCAATTGCCAGTGTGCTCAATCTTACCAACAAGCAACTGATTGCGGGCTCTAGAGCTGCTGCTGAGAAGAGACCCGCTCCAACTACCACGCCTCTAACAGCCAATGGTGGCTATGGTTTTGGACGAGGTCAACAATATAGAGAATCTGGTCCACCTCCTCCACTGCGAGGTTCTTTCCGTGGCGCCGTTTCAGGGCAACGTGGAAATTTTGTACCTCGTGGTGGACGTGGTCGTGGTGGTTTCACCAATGGAAATGCACATGGTAATTCTGGCGATAATGCAACTCCAGCGGTTCATAGCAGCATGGTTATTCGTGACACAACACCTGTGAACACGACCGGTAATGCCAACGGCACCAGAGGTCGTGGAACCGCATTTGCAGCCGCCAGAGGTGGCGGTTCCGCCGCTGGTAGCGTAGCATACAACAATGTTCCTCCACCGGCTGCGTTGGATTCACGAGGCAGGGGCAGAGGCCGCGGTGGTAGAGGCCGCGGTGCTTCGAGAGGTCGAGGTGGTAATCCACATCCTCCACAAGCTTAGATTTACAATTTCTCGTTCTGTCGACTTTTCTTCTTTGTAATTTCTGGAAATGCAATATTGGCATGGCACGGCGTGACATGGAATTTTCACGATCTTACATCGCATAATATATCAGGAGATGAATAAAAGTTGCAAGCGATCTTTTCCCGGTGGGTACTTTTACGAGACTAGAACGACGATTTCACGAAAGGGATGGTTATGATTCGCTCGTGTTACTACCATTTATGCATGGATCGGATATACTAGATGAAAGAAGACGGTCAATGGGCCTCGGATGCGATGAGAGCGTGATTACAACCCAATGATTACTGCTATGTTGGAGGAGAAGATAACTTGTTGGATGCAGAGGCATGATATGACCGGAGAGAAAATAGTTAGATGTACGGAGAATTAAATCTTTGAAGTCTACGATATATATTCACATTGAATGGGGTGAATTTTACAGCCAGCAAGTGACAAAATACATACTGTAATGATCCCTCCGAATTCAACAAATTTCACATCTACATTTAAAAGCTCTTTTCCACGTGACACATATTCACTTATTTTGTACCCGCCTACAGACATATGGTGGAACGTCCCTCGTTAATCACTAATATACATAAACCACATCCTCATTGGTATTCATCTCGTATCGACGAGATCGAGGTATCTATCTACAACCATCTTACTAACGCCCTCCCTCTTTCCCCTAATCGCTTTTCCCATTGCTTTCTGCATTTCATAAGGATGGATTACAAGGTATCTATAATGAGGTTTCTCGTTGCAAGAAAAATACGTCTTTTAGCTGTTAGCTGGTCCACTTCCATTTCCGTTGTCGTTGTTTCCGTTCCCATTCCCATTTTCTAAAGCCGATTGTGTTCCTTCTGCTGGTGGTGGGGTGGTCGCGGGAGGCGTGGCCCTCGGGACGTTCTTATCCTGTACGACTTTGATGATGTAATCGCCTGCGTCATTTGCACCATCGAGACCACCTACACGGGTCTTAAAGTATTCTGCATCGCGAAGCATTCTATGTTCTCATTAGTCACTTGGGTATCTCTGGAAGGGAAAATAGAAAAAAATGCAAGATAACATACCGTGCTTTAGCATCCTCACTTCCCAGCACGACATCCCCGAAAGCCTTCCCCAATTGCTCTCTGAAGCTTTTAAATACCAGCTGCATGATCATGTTCACAGTCATATCTGGGAGGTGCTTGTTGAGAACTTTATGTAACGTAAGCGTCTCCTTCGTCATCGTTTCCATATACGCATTGATAGAAGAGGCTCCTGGTTCATCCTCCCAATTAATCATTTTCATGCTTTTAACATGAGCAGTTGCTCTTCCGGCCATAATATTGAGGAATTTATCGTAAATCAGTTGCTGATGTTCGAGATATGCACGGCGGATCTTGTCAAACTCGCCCATGAGAACGGAGACAGAGGATCCAGTGCCGGCATTACGACGAACGTATTCGCGAATGTATGGGATGAGAACGGATATGAAGGAGGTGGCTTGAGCGGCGAGGGCAAGATGTTTGGTGGTTATATTTTTGAGACCGGCGGTGGTGGTAGCGCCGGCTCCGAGTATTAGTTGTTGCACGCGGGAATTGAATAGTGTGAGGTACGAGAGTATCAACGCAGCGATTTCGGAAGTCATGGATGGAATGCCAGTATTGAGATGAAGAAGGGAGGCGAGGCCGTGGAGACAAAGAATTGCAGATATGGGAAGAAGATATGATTGATCATCGATAACAGCAGAACGTCCTTTCACTGTTCTGGGTGCAGAGGTGGAATTTGGTGT